TTTTGACAGGTGTTAAAATGGTTGACATTTTTCGACTTAACTTGGTCGACTTAGTAGAAATAGATTTTTTGTTCATCAAAATCTGCCATAGTTACTCTGCTTTTGGACATAAGATTCCAATATTTGACTGCAAACCACGCCTCACCTGTCATATATACAGGGTTGTGCCCATGGTAAAAAATGTTGCTTACGACATCCCTAATAACATATTTAAATTTCATCCAAATATCACGGGTAACCAATTTCCATTTACATATTGCGGGGTCCTTTCAATTTATGATAGCACAAATTATTCCTTGAGTTTTGCACCATAAATATTAAGTTTTGCACTGCAACCCTTGGGCCTTTACAGGGGGTTGAAAGAGAAATAGTTGCCCCCCCACACGCCAAATTTCAATTTATGATAGCACAAATTGTTCTCTGAGTTTTGCACCATTTTGTACCCTAAATATTAAATTTTGCACCGCAACCCTTAAGCCTCTACAGGGGGTTGAAAAATAATTAGTTGCCCTCCCCCCACACGCCAAATTTCAATTTATGATAGCACAAATTATTCTTCGAGTTTTGCACCATTTTGCATCGCAACCCTTGGGCCTCTACAGGGGCTTGAAAGGGAAATAGTTGCCTCCCCCCCCCCCACACGCCAAATTTTAATTTAAAATAGCACAAATTGTTCTCCGATTTTTGCACCATTTTGCACCATAAATAGTAAATTTTTCCACCGCTACCGTTAGGCCTATACAGGAGGTTGAAAGAGACATAGTTGGCCACTGGCCACGCCACACGCCAAATTTCAATTTATAATAGCACAAATTGTTCTCCGAATTTTGCACCATTTTGCACCATAAATATTTAATTTTGCACCGCAACCTTTAAGCCGCTACAAGGGGTTGCAAGAGAAAAAGTTGGCCCCCCGACACGTCAAATTTCAATTTATAATAGAACAAACTGTTCCTTGAGTTTTGCACCATTTTGCGCCATAATTATTAAATTTTGCACCGCAACCCTAAAGCATCTACAGGGGGTTGAAAGTGAAATAGTGCCAAAGTACCGGTGATGACGTAGCAGCATGTTGTTTCACGCCTTAACGTAGGGTGTTTGCACCACAAGCTATAATTCCGCTGGCTTCTATTTGAATATTCTAAACTGCGACCGCTGGCGCAAATAGCTGCCGACATAGTTGATGTCGTAGCAACGGTGCTACACCAGATGATCTTGAATCCCAAAAATAGGCCGATAAGCAATCCTCGTGTAGTGTGTATTATCCTTGGGTAAATTCGAGAGTAAATTATAGGGTTTCCAGCTGTGTTGGAACGAAGTTAATATGTCGCTGAGAAGCGCTGATAAACCAACCCAAAGTAACTCGTCTTTTCATTATTATTACCGAGCTTTGTTAGCGGATCACATTCTGGACCGATTCCGAACCAGTCCAGAACATATTAGGCTTGTATCCTGCTGCAGAAATCACAAACCAGTCAGAGCGAATTTCATTGGTTGAAAACAGTCAGAAACAGTCAGAAAACTAGTTTCAACCAATGAAATTCACTCTGACTGGTCTGTGATTTCTGCAGAAACAGACCTTCTGGTGGCGTATCCGGATGGTAAAATTATAGCGTTTTCCATTTGTCGAACCAGTGCAAAAAAAAATGTATCATCCTCACATGTTACATGCTTTTAGAAAAAGATGCGGATACATTCAGTGCGCACTGACAAATGGAAATCGCCATTAGTGTAAAGAAAATGTATTTCTATCAGTTTCTTGAACAAGCTAAAAGAAAGAGATGGAAATATACTCAGTGCGCGTTAAAAACGCCAAGTTGCTATAAAAGGCACGCCCAGTTAAAAACCGGCGTGGATAATACACACTACTACGACAGAGGTTTGTTTGCATGTGTTGTTCGGGGTAGCACTTCCTGCTTTGGGGCGTTCGATTATGAGCGTTTCACATGGTTTATCTGCCATAATCTGAAATATCACAGCTTAGTTCAAGTTAGTACGACACAAACAAACAAACCTCAGGATAGCCTATCCTCATAAGGCCTGTGTGGAACAAATCTGAAGCCCCCTACCTAGCCAAATCTCCAGTTGTGACGTAGGCAGCATGTCGTTTCTCGCCTTGACGTAGGCTGTTTGCACTACAAGTTATGATTCTGCGGGCTTTTGCTTATGCATACTGTTTTACTCATTAATTAATATTCTAAGTGCCGGTACTTTCGCTCTCATTTGACAGCTGTTAAACATTGACCAGTGGTTTGAATGTGCTCTAACCACATGATACTCACCTGGCCCATGCAAAACTTTGACGACGTATCAAATTCGTTAATCGAGAGTAAAAGTATTGGCCTTAAAACAACTTTTTCAGATCTTGTTTTCTAAGCAACTCTTGTAGTGTGTATTATCCTTGATAAACCGGTTCAGGATTTAATAGGTCTGTGTCTGCAGAAATCACAAACCAGTCAGAGTGAATTTCATTGGTTGAAACTAGTTTTCTGTTTTCAACCAATGAAATTCGCTCTGACTGGTTTGTGATTTCTGCAGCAGGAAACAAGTCTAATATGTTCTGGACTGGTTCGGAATCGGTCCAGAATGTGATCCGCTAACAAAGCTCGGTAATAATAATGAAAAGACGAGTACTTTGGGTTGGTTTATCAGCGCTTCTCAGCGACATATTAACTTCGTTCCAACACAGCTGGAAACCCTATAATTTACTCTCGAATTTACCCAAGGATAATACACACTACACGAGGATTGCTTATCGGCCTATTTTTGGGATTCAAGATCATCTGGTGTAGCACCGTTGCTACGACATCAACTATGTCGTACACACACACACAATTTCTCTTGCAACCCCCTGTAGATGCTTTAGGGTTGCGGTGCAAAATTTAATAATTATGGCGCAAAATGGTGCAAAATTCGGAGAACAATTTGTGCTATTTTAAATTGAAATTTGGCGTGTGGGGGCAACTATTTCCCTTTCAAGCCCCTGTAGAGGCCCAAGGGTTGCGATGCAAAATGGTGCGAAACTCGAAGAATAATTTGTGCTATCATAAATTGAAATTTGGCATGTGGGGGGAGGGTAGCTATTTATTTTTCAACCCCCTGTAGAGGCTTAAGGGTTGCGGTGCAAAATTTAATATTTATGATGCAAAATGGTGCAAAACTCGGAGAACAATTTGTGCTATCATAAATTGAAATTTGGCGTGTGGGGGGCAACTATTTCTCTTTCAACCCCCTGTAAAGGCCCAAGGGTTGCAGTGCAAAACTTAATATTTATGGTGCAAAATGGTGCAAAACTCAAGGAATAATTTGTGCTATCATAAATTGAAAGGACCCCGCAATATGTAAATGGAAATTGGTTACCCGTGATATTTGGATGAAATTTAAATATGTTATTAGGGATGCCGTAAGCAACATTTTTTACCATGGGCACAACCCTGTATATATGACAGGTGAGGCGTGGTTAGCTGTCAAATATTGGAATCTTATGTCCAAAAGCAGAGTAACTATGGCAGATTTTGATGAACAAAAAATCTATTTCTACTAAGTCGACCAAGTTAAGTCGAAAAATGTCAACCATTTTAACACCTGTCAAAACCCTGCCAAACGGCAGCACTCATTTTTTCCAGTTTTCAAAATTTTATGTTGTCATTTGACATTTTTAACTTATTTAAAAAATTCTAAATTCAAAAATTGAAAAAAAAAATGACAGAACTGTCAAAACCTGTCATTTGTTTTAGTAGAAAAAAATACTCTAATCTGGTCCTTTCTCGTTTTAAGGTAGTTTATTGGTGATAAAACATTGAACAAAGTTCATGCACGTCACATTTTGACAGCTGTCTTTTTTTTTTTCAATTTTTGAATTCAGAATTTACATATAAGTTAAAAATGTCAAATGACAACATAAAATATTGAAAACTGGAAAAGATTAGTTCTGCCGCTTGGCAGGGTTTTGACAGGTGTTAAAACGGTTGACATTTTTCGACTTAACTTGGTCGACTTAGTAGAAATAGATTTTTTTTTCATCAAAATCTGCCATAGTTACTCTGTTTTTGGATATCAGATTCCAATATTTGACAGCTAACCACGCCTCACCTGTCATATATACAGGGTTGTGCCCATGGTAAAAGATGTTGCTTACGGCATCCCCAATAACATATTTAAATTTCATCCAAATATCACGGGTAACCAATTTCCATTTAAATATTGCGGGGTCCTTTGGCGTGAGGGAGGGGCCAACTATTTCTCTTTTAACCCCCTATAGAGAGAGGGTTGCGGTGCAAAATTTAATATTTATGGTGCAAAACTCGGAGAACAATTTGTGCTCTTATAAATTGAAATTGGGCGTGTGGGGGGGGGGCCAAATTTTTCTCTTTCAACCCCCTGTAGAGGCTTGAGGGTTGCGGTGCAAAATTTGATATTTATGGTGCAAAATGGTGCAAAACTCAAGGAATAATTTGTGCTATTATAAATCGAAATTTGGCGTGTGGGGGGGCCAACTATTTCTCTTTCAACCCCCTGTAGAGGCTTAAGGGTTGCGGTGCAAAATTTAATATTTATGGTGCAAAATGGTGCAAAACTCGGAGAATCATTTGTGCAATTGTAAATTGAAATTTGGCGTGTGGGGGGGGCCATGATTAATTTGCCCCCCCCCCCAGTAATACTTCCATATAGTTTCTCTCCTGAGGGGGTGCAAAATTTTTTTCGGGTGGTGCAAAACGGTGCAAAATGGGTGCAAAAAAATGGTATAAGTTTTAATCGATTTGGAAATATGGGGGGGGCTAACTTAACTGACCCCTTATTTTTGTTGAGTCAAATTACAGTGGATAGAATTATGTTTTCTATTACCGGCTCCCGTCAAAGATTTTCTATATTAAGAGCCTTGGATAAGAAAATATTAATCACTCTGTATCTTTACACAGTGGCTTATTTTTATTCAGTCAAATTTAGAAATGATATTAGACTCATTTTTGACTAAGGAAGGAAAATAAAATACTTAAAAATAGAATCCTGACGAAATATTTAATATTTTTAAATAAAACATAATATAAAAAAGACATTTTACTACTAGAAAATAAATCACATATACAAGAATAAAAAGTGGTAAAATCTAAAGTTTCTTGTCGGTTTTGGTTTCAAGGGCCAACTGAATAAAATTACTGAAAAGTAAAAACAATTAATTAATAATTATTACACACAAATAAATCTATACCTTATTTTATCCAAAATCTCTGGCGCTCTACACAAATACTTATGACCATATTGGCCTTTTGAACTAAATGAGTGAAATATCAATTGTCCTTGTCCTCTGATTCTGCACTTTTGAGCTTCCTTATACAGCTACAATAATTTCCAATTAGTAACAAATAATAAATTAATTATTAGTATTTACCTTATATCCTAATTTATAAGGTACCACTTTATCATCCTCAGCATGCATTATCATAACAGGAATATTAATACTGCAAATGTACTTATCAGTATCGAAATTGAAATTTTCCGAAATTGGCTGTACAATAGTCGAGTGGAACCAAGGCAAAAACTTAAACATTTTCGCCAAAGGAAACTCGCTCACTTCCTCTTTGAAATTATTAAAAGGGCTTTCCAATATAAGTCCTACAGGCATTTGAATGTTCATGGTTTGTAGCTTTAGTAATGCATGAGTGGAAATGCTGGTGCCTAACGAATGGCCCCAAATAAAAACGTTACTTTTTGTTCGGTTTCTGACCCATTGGAAAACAGCTAAGCAATCTTCCACTAAGCTTTGCTCGCTTGGGGGTAATGCTGATGAATCACCATAGCCTATTATAATAATATTAATAAAAATTTATTAATAATAACTGAAAACTTACTTCTATAATCATAAGCAATCACGTGAAAAAACTTCCTTAAAACTTTATACATTTCAATTCGATGTTCAGTGAGTCTACACCCGCCATTTCCATGGTTGTAAATGACAACATTTTGACCATCGTCTAAGATTTTGTCGAAAAAATCTTCGCCTGCGTTGTTGATGTTTTGTAAATTTTCTGGCAATATTTGCCAGGTACCCAGCTTGACTTGGCCAAAAGTTACATAGAGGTTCCTGGAACCTTTAAGATTATAACTTTCTGCTGGATGAATGTAATCGGCAGAGCGAGGAACATTAACTAGAAATAATTACTTTTATAAATAAGTTAATATATTAAGAATTTACTTACGAAAATTTAAAAATACTGTTGATCTTTGGAAATTGTATGAGTATTTGTAGCTTATAGGTAAAATCACAAAGAGTATTATAAAGATGACTAGTCCAAGTTTAAATGTACTCAAGGCAATTCTAAAAAAAAAGCAAACAAATATATAAAAATTTACACAATTTTATTAATAGGTACACTCAAAATCTTCCTCACACTCAAAATTACCTATACAGCCATTTTTTATAATCGCATCCAGATTTTTTTGTAATTATTTCATCCTCACACTGTACAACACTATACTGAGTATTACGTTTTGCCATCTTTGCAAACGAATAATTAATAAAACAATTAATTAATAAAAGAGTAAAAGGTAACGGTACCAACAATGAAATAATGAACGCATTGAAGGTGACTTTTTTTGTAATTTAAATCGCTATTATTAAATAATTGCTACTGGGGCATAAAAGGTAGGTAGTTATTTTATCAGTGGGTTGCTGATTAAAATGAAAATAGGCAGCGATGGCGAATTTTATAATTGTATATTATATATTGTAAAAAAATTGATACCCAACCAAATAGAAAAAATATTGAAGATTAAATTCAAAAATTGACTTGAGAAATTAGTTACTTATTACAGTATAGAAATACTTTTTAATGTGAACTAATTAAGACACGGGTAAGTGCAAATTACCGATATTTTCTGATTACTGGATCATGAATAAATAAGCATATTCATACATATTATGAATTAGATTTTATGTTTATGTGTTACTGAGAAAATAATAATAAAACTAAATATTATCTCAAAATATGGATACTTAAATATTAGTCTAGGAAAATTGTCGATTTTCAAAAAAAAAATTCCTACCCAAATGAACTTTTCAGTGATGATAGGGGGCGGGTAGGTAATCATAAAACCGAAAATATCAAACATTCACCCCTCTGGCGTTTTGCGCTATAGGGGTTGAAAGTGCGCCATTGGCGATTACTAGGTACCTATTGATTTTACAAAAAAATGTTACAAATAAAAGATGTTTAACATTATTTTATCTACAATGTTTATCTGAAGACTTTTTTGATTAAGGGCCGTTTGTGGTCATAAGGGCCGTTTCAAATTTTATAATAAAAATGAAAAATTTTAACCAACGTGAAAAATTTTTCTACAATACATACAACATTTTTGCTTTATGAAGTTTTTACTCACCCCCTGCCGCTTTTCAATAGGGGTAGTTTAAAGTTTTTTTATTTTTTTACAAAAAAATTTTCTTAATAAAAGTTTTATAAGATGACATTTCCTACAATTTTTCCCTATCAACTTTTTTTGTAACTCACCCCCATTCAGCGGAGGGACACTTCCCTCTGGGAAATTTTAGTTTTTAGGGGTATATATTATTTTATTTTAGTGCATATAAAATGTTGCAATTAACATTGTATTAAGGGGATTTTTTTTCACCACCTTTTTGTTTTTAGGGGTAGTTCGCCTATTTTCAACTTTACAGAAAAAAGTTATTAAGAGAACTTGTTCATTTTATTTTGAGCAACTTTTCTCTATAACTTTTTTTCGTAAAGTTGAAAATAGGCGAACTACCCCTAAAAACAAAAAGGTGATGGAAAAAAAAATCCTTTCAATACAATGTTAATTGCACCTTTTTATATGCACTAAAGGCGATAAAAGAAAAAAAAAATTAATACATACCCCTAAAAACTAAAATTTTCCCGAGGGAAGTGTCCCCCCGCTGAATGGGGGTGAGTTACAAAAAAAGTTGATTAGGAAAAATTGTAGAAAATGTCATCTTGTAAAACTTTTATTAAGAAATGTTTTTTGTGAAAAAATAAAAAAACTTTAAACTACCCCTATTGAAAAACGGCAGGGGGTGAGTAAAAACTTCATAAAGCAAAAATGTTGTATGAGTTGTAGAAAATTTTTTCACGTTGGTTGAAATTTTCCATTTTCATTATAAAATTTCAAACGGCCCTTATGACCATAGACAGCCCTTAATCAAAAAAGTCTTTAGATAAACATTGTAGATCAAATAATGTTGCACATCTTTTATTTGAAACATTTTTTTGTAAAATCAATAGGTACCAAGTAATCGCCAATGGCGCACTTTCAACCCCTATAGCGCAAAACGCCAGAGGGGTGAATGTTTGATATTTTCGGTTTTATGATCACCCACCCTCCCCCTATCATCCCTGAAAAGTTCTTTTGGGTAGGATTTTTTTTTGTTGAAAATCGACAATTTTCCTAGACTAATCAGAGTGGATCCGAGTACAAATGTAAAAAAGCAGTGGCAGTTTATAAACAATTTTTTCAATAAGCAATCCAAAAAAAATAAAATCGAATGTTTGTCTGAAAATGGACAAATTATAAAAAACGGTCGGGATATTGTAAATAGTTTAAATCATCACTTTTCAACCATTGGTGAGAGTATAGTCACGGCTTTAAATAAAGAAACACGTGTTGCTAATAATGATACTGAACTTGAGGAGATATTGTGTAATAATGATGTGAGGAAAATAGAGTTAACAAATGAAACTGAGGTTAATGAAATTATTTTAGAATTAAAAAAGAATTCGGCTGCTGGTTATGATGGAATTACAGTCTTGGATATACTTAATCTAAAGAATAACATTCTACCTATTATCACACGATTAATTATTAGCGTCTTTTTAAGCGGAATCTTTCCGCCTGAGTTGAAAATAAGTAGGACAACTCCAATACTTAAGTCTGGAAATAAAGATAACATGAATAATTATAGACCTATCTCTGTCATAGCCGTATTTTCTAAAATTATTGAAGAGATTGGTAAAAAAAGAATGATTTTGTTTACTAATGATAATCTGAATGTGGATCCTTTCCAGTATGGGTTCATTAAAAATAGTAATACTCTGGCAGCTACATTTGACTTTGTAAATTATGTTGCTAAAGGATTAGGCGAGAAAAATATTGTTGTGTCGGTGTTTATAGATTTAAAAAAGGCCTTTGACGTGGTGTCATTTGATATACTTTTGGATAAGCTTTGTAGATTGGGATTTCAGGGAATTTTTTTGAGTTTTATGAGAATGTATCTGGAGGGTAGGCAACAGTTTGTTGGGCTGGAAGAATTTAATAGTGATGTTTTGTCTAACAACTATGGAGTTCCACAGGGGTCGGTTTTGGGACCCTTGCTTTACTCTATATACATTCTTAGTCTGAAAATTGCACACCTAGAGGCCAGATACTTCACTTTTGCAGACAACACAGCTTTGGTATATTTTGGGTCAGATTCATCAAAGATGGAAAGCCAAGTGAATAGGGACTTGGATAGGTACCTTAAATTTTTGTACAAAAATAATTTGGCAGTTAATATCGACAAAACCAAATATATCCTTTTCAAACAGAAAAATAAAGTGATTGGTAATCTCGAGATTAAATTAAATAACATCCCTTTAGAAAATGTCTCATCAATTAAGTACTTAGGTCTCCAAATAGATGAATTGCCGAACTGGCAAAAGCATACTAAGCATTTAACTAATAAAATCAATGAAATGGTCCCAATTCTTTATAGGTGTAGAAACTATCTCACAGACAAAACTAAATTAAATGCTTACAATTCATATTTTTTGGCCCATCTAAGGTACCTTTTACCAATTTGGGGAACATGTACAGAAGGTACTTTTAACTCAATAAAAGTACTACAGAACAAAATTTTAAAAATCCTCTTCAATTTTGATTTATTAACACATACTACAGATTTAGTATATAGCCAGGAGTGTATAGGTTGGATCAGGTACTGATACTGGAGCAATGTAAATTGATGTACAAAATTGTTAATAATCTACAAAAATGTAAGTAATTCCAATATAATGTTTTCAAATGAAATTCATAATTATGGCACCAGGTCAGTTAACAATTGGTATATTTAACATAGTAGAATAAATATAGGCTTAAATTGTCCACTCGGATCCACATCTAGGATATATAACAACCTACCAAATAGTATAAAAAACTCTGATAGTTTAAATAGTTTCAATAGGCTATTGAAAAGTTATATAAATGATACTGTCTAATCATTCGGTTATACCTACCTGCTTGTTGGAGGGTTGGGGCTCTGTTAGTGTGATAAAAGCCTCCTGTTAAGTTTTTGTTATTTGTATTATTTTGTATATTTTTTTTTTATATACCGGGTGACAATGAAACTACTACCCATGCCGGTATTTCTTAACGGATCGAGATAGAAATATGCAACTCGGTGTGTTGATAGGGTTGAAAATTGTGAACAATTTTGATATAAAAACAATTGAATGTCTTTTCGGGTTTCACCGGAAAAGGCATTGACTTTGTTATTTTAAATGGGACACCCTGTATATTATCCGTTTTTTGGACTCTCTGAACAATTCTAAATAACTTTTGTCTAACATACCGTATGTCAAAAATTGATAGTTTTCAAAATAGGGTGACCCAAAAATATGTCGTAATTCCTATTTGTTTGTATTTTACGTAAAAACTGAATATGCCAGAATAAAAAAAATCATGGTTATTTGCTCCTTAGTCGAACGGGTATCCGTTAAATGCTAAAAGAGAAGAATTAATGCAAGTTAAGAAAAACGCGTTTTTCGAAAATGAATGTTTCAGTTTTTGATCGGACCCTGTACGAAAATAGTTCAACTTATGGAAATGAAACTTCCACTGCCCAATCCTACTTTTTTATCCTTTATCCAAATATGACAAATTTAACTTTCATAGACACTTGCAAAATTGAAAATTTGATAATCCATTTTCAAGTTGTTGGTTCTTTCGTTTTTTCAATACTAATTACATATCTACACCATTGTAATAAAATTCATTTGTTTTCACCCTATCATACTTCATGTATTTTTCAAAAATTCAAATGAGACAAAAAAGGGTTAACTATTTGGACAGTACAATATTTTGAATCCATACCCAACTTTGCACGTGGTATACGTAATTAAATGAGTAAAAGCTCAGGTAAAAGTAATATTGGTTTTGGCACTAACAACTTGAAAGTAGGTTATCAAATTTTTAATCTTGCAGGTGTCTATGAAGGTTGAATTTGTCATATTTGGATAAAGGATAAAAAAGTAGGATTGGGTAGTGGAAGTTTCATTTCCATAAGTTGAACCATTTTCGTACAGGGTCCGATCAAAAACTAAAACATTCATTTTCGAAAAACGCGTTTTTCTTAACTTGCATTAATTCTTCTCTTTTATCATTTAACGGATACCCCTTCGACTAAGGAGCAAATAACCATGATTTTTTTTGTTCTGGCATATTCAGTTTTTACGTAAAATACAAACCAATAGGAATTACGACATATTTTTGAGCCACTCTATTTTGAAAACTATCAATTTTTGACATAGGGTATGTTAGACAAAAGTTATTTAGAATTCTTCAGTGAGTCCAAAAAACAGATAATATACAGGGTGTCCCTTTTAAAATAACAAAGTCAATGCCATTTCCGGTGAAACCGGAAAAGCCATTCAGTTGTTTTTATGTTAAAATTGTTCAAAATTTTCAACCCTATCGACATACGGAATTGCATATTTCTATCTCGAGCCGTTAACAAATGCCGTCGTGGGTAGTAGTTTCATTGTCACCCGGTATATAGATTTATATAATGGCTACCGCCCATAGTTGATTTAGAATTTATCAGTATTTTTTTCTAATCACACGAGTTTTGTAGTCATGTTTAAGCGCACATGTGATGTACAGTTACGATAAAAAAAAAGTAGTACAAAAATTATTAACCCCAATTTGAGCTCCCGGTGTAACATACAAAATTTTGACAGCAAATAAACATTTCAAAATATGTTGAATTCTGACAATGACAATGACATATTCTAGGTTGAAAACGGGTGGAAAAATGCCAAATTTATGTCATCTGAAGCTTTCTAGGTTAAAAACTTGTCAAAAAATGCCAAAAATATGTCATTTTGGTTATGAATTAAATTAATGTTTACTAGACCAGGAGATTTCGGAGATTTTTCTTGTACTACTTTTTTTTTATCGCAACTGTACAACATTTTATCTACAAAGCGAAAAATAAGAACGTTTTTTCAATTATTTTCCTTTATTAGTAGTTGTCTACCTTCATTTTACCTTTACAGGCTTAACTTTGACATTTGTCAAATCGCCAAAAATGTGTTGTGTTATAGATTCATAACCTAATCAATAACACCACTAGTTATGTTATGAATTCATAACCTAGTCCATAACACCACTAGTTGTGTTCTGAGTCTCATGACATAACTCAAATACTAGAAAAATGTTTATGTAAAAACGTCATAACCAAACGCTTGTAGATAAATACAAAAGTTGTACAGTTGAATGTCAAAAATGTGAAATGTTGCATGCTTTCAGCTTTTTTCAAATGGGATGCCCTATATTTGGTTCTATATTCTTAAAGAACACAATTTCCCAATTCTAAAACTATATAGTTTGTCTGTATTTGGTTGTGATGTCTCCAACATATTTGGTTCTAAAACTTTTAAAAATACTATCAGAGAAACCAAGTACCTCAAAAGATAACGCACACCTAACATGGGATTTTTGGGCTCTATGGATTTTGCCCATTTTTTGATATGTTGTAGAGGATTTAATTCTGAACAACCTCTAAATGGGACGAAATCTTGTAGGTATTACGGTCTTTGAGATATGAGCGTTGAAACATGAACTTTTTTGCGACTCTTTGTGTGGAGAGTATACGAGATACTGGTGCTACTGGTATTTATCAGTCAAAATATTGACAGGTTCACATATTGTACGTCACTTAAAAGTTAATGTCAACTTATGTTAAGGCCGGAACCGCACTGGAGTCAATGCTGGCGCCAGTGCGGTCCTGGCCTCAGCCTATGTTGACATTTGTTAGTGACGTGAAATATGCTTACTCGCACAGTATAAGCAGTTAGACCTAGATGTTTGTTTGTTAGTTTTAATCAAATTTTGACCATGAACTATTTGTTCAAGTGTTTGGTTTTGTCTGTGCTTTTGCATTTGTATGTTTTGTTTTTTATTTTTTCAGCTTTGTCCACAAAATTGTAAAATTTTCTGACAATAAAGCAAATTCTTTCTTTCTTTCTTTCTTTCTTTCTATGTCGACCTGTCAAAATTTTGACTGATATACACCAGTTTCTCGTATACTCTCCACACAAAAAGTTGCAAAAAAGTTCATCTTTTAACGCTCATATCTCAAAGACTGTAATACCTACAAGATTTCGTCCCATTTAAAGGTTGTTCAGAATTAAATCCTCTACAACGTATCAAAAAATGGGCAAAATCCATAGAGCCCAAAAATCCCATGTTAGGTGTGCGTTATCCTTTTACCTATGGCTTTCACCTGTACAGGTAGAATGGTTCACAAAATCAGTAGTAGGATAGTATTTTTACAATTTTTGGAGCCGAATATGAGAGATTGCTCAATCAAACATAGATCGGCGAGTAGATCGGGGTATTGTGCTCTTCAAAAATATAGAATAAAATATAGGGCATGGTTTCTAAAAATTCAGCCGAAACTGTACAACTTTTGCACTTACACCTTTCTTCTACCTGTAAAGGTGAAGGCTGTAGATGGGGTGTCAAGGTATAAAAAAAAACTCCCTGTACATAAAGTTCGTTTCACCAGGGTTCATACTTGACCTTGAAACTTGACAAAAAAGGGTTGTCGTAGATTAATTCATATGACTCATTCAATTTTTTTGACAAATTAAAATGAATGACGTTTGGTTTAAGAACCGACGAACGTTTTTGATGTCATTAATTTGTTTCAGTCAATTTTTATTTGTTAAACAAGGAAGACAAATGCTGGTGGCAAGTACAAACCCTGGTGAAACAAACTTTACATAGTTTTTGAAGGAATGAAATATGACAATTTTACATAAATGAAGTAATTTCTCCAACACTATAAAAGCCATAAATATGAAATTTTCTGGTATCCCTTATCAGACATTAAAGCAAGACATACCAAAAATTCAAAGCAATTGAACAAAGGACACGAAAGTTACAAAGTGATTTATAGAAATACATAATTTTTGAAAGAATGATACATAATATATGACAATCTTACATGAATGGGGTGATTTCTCAAAAACTATAAAAGCCACAAGTATGAAATTTTCTGGTATTCTTCATAAAACATTAGCAGGATATACAAAAAATCGAGCAAAAAATTAAAATCAATTGAACAAAGGACAGAAAAGTTGAAGCAAATAGAAGAAGAACAACAAGAATCTTTTGAAGAAAAACATGCACAAACAATTACTGAGAAGAGCAAATCTGATTCAAAGATAATTGAAAGTTTTAATAATGAAACAAAAGTGAATTATTAGTTGATGATTTGGCCAGAAAAAGGTATGTATTTATTAGAGTTATGAATTTACACTAGAAAACTAATAACTAACCAACACGTTTAACATTTTCCATTTTTAATTATGAACTCAACAAACTATGTAGTAAGTAACAGTTCACATAGAGCAATTTGAGAAGCTTATTTTGCACCCTGATTAAGCTGAAATTCAACTGAGATGAATAAAAATCCTATTCCAAGCTCTTCTAGAGTAGTAAATTCCAATTTCTGATCACTTTACAAAGGCCTCGCATTATTTATTAGGTAATAATTAAAATCTAATATTATTTGAAATTGTATCCATTATTTCAAGGAACCTTTTCTCAAGATTCAAAAATCAAGTACTTACACTTCAAAGAATCCTAGCACCGCAAAAATCACTAAAATGCTGGGAAATACAAAACACAGAAGCGATCTCCTATTTTTGTCCATTACAACAATTGGATTGTCCTCGTTATTACTCAGTGAGGCCCTCATTCTTTGTCTCAAAAATCAACACTAAATGGACTTTGTAATACAGTGATTTTTCAACTCAAACTGAAAAATGATGAGGATCAATACCTAGAGATAATAATTTATTGATAAGCCAATTTACATATAAGTGAATGTGAGAATGATTCAAGTGCGACAATAATTGATTGACTTACCTTTTAATTAAGCGCCTTTTGTTAAGTAACATTATTTGTTCATAATAATTTGACAATAAATTTTTATAAATAATTTTGTTTGTTTGAAAACAAATAAAATTTAACCTAACCTCACTTTTGTCAAATTATTTTCTATCTCACTTGCACCCACTAGAAAATGTCAAAACCTAGTCAACCTAACCTCACTTTGTTGCTGTCAGATTATTTGCTTATTTGCTATCTCACTTGCACCCACTAATGTCAAAAACTGTCTCACTTTAAAAATTAATAACAAACACAAAAAAATAATGTAAATATTCCAATAATTATTAATTAAAAAATCTATATTATTAAAATTCAATGTTGTTATTGTAAAAATAAGGGATGTTTTAGAGGTAACAAAAGTCCCTATAATTGTTATTAATTCCATGGTTGTGCCTTTTTTAAATAATTGTGATATTTTTTGTGCAATGTTCAAACGGAAGAAATCTGTGAATAAGCAAAGGCTAGAGCACAAACTCTATCTGGTAAGGTTTTCAATTTTATCTACAACCAACCTTTGACTGTGAATTTCAGGCCAGAGAAACTCCTGAGCCAGTTTTCGATCTTTCAGATTGTGACTTGATAAATGTCCCTACAGGAATTTATTCCCTTTGCAAGGTATTCCTTAAGGAATCCCTTATGTTGCAAAACAACCAATTAACAACCCTATCAGGAGGGGGTGAATTGAAAGATTTAATTAATTTACGGGTTTTGGATATTTCGTCTAATGATTTCCATCAATTGCCTGATGATGTTTGTTTATTGAAAAATTTACAAGTAATTATAGAAATCAATATGCATTTAAATATTACAGACATTGTTTTCTATTTAGGAATTCTATGCTGACAACAATTATTTGAAATCATTACCCAACTCAATGTGCCATTTGGTCAATTTAAAAATACTTAGTTTGGCCAATAATAATTTGAAATCTTTACCTGAAGATTTAGGGTTATTGAAACAATTACAGAAAATTAGGTTGAGCTGCAATAAGCATTTGAAGTCTTTACCTAAAAATATTTGCAAGCTTAAGGGACTGGTTTTAATTGAAATTGATTGGGAAAATATGGTTTATCCGCCTAGGGATGTAATTGAAATGGGTACTGAGGCAATTATGAAGTATATTAGTAATGGTGAGTGAAGCGTTAGAAGGATTTTTCTAGTCATTTAAGCTTCAGAAACATTCCCTCAAAACCTGATATTTGTGCCTCAAGTGGTTTTTGAGTAAATGCGGAGGCATGTCATATTTTAGTCTTATATAGAAGAAAATGTTTATTTTTAAAAATCCTGTAACTTTGTAATTTTTTGTTCAATGACTTTGAATTTTTAGTATGTGTTGCCTCTAAGTCTCAATAATATCGCCTCAAAATGTCATGCTTGAGTCTTGAGTAGTTTTTGAGTAAATGGTCAAAATGTGGAGCCACGTCATATACAGCTTTATCAAGGAAAATGTTCATTTTTCAAAATCTTGTAACTTTGCAATTTTTGGTTGAATTGATTTGAATTTTTAGTATGTTTTGCCTCTAAGTCTCAATAATATCGCCACAAAATGTCATGTTTGTGTCTCGAGTAGTTTTTGAGTAAATGGTCAAAATATGAAGCCATGTCATATGCAGCCTTATAGAGGAAAATGTTCATTTTTAAAAACCTTGTACCTTTGTAATTTTTTGTTCGATGAATTTGAATTTCTAGTATGTTTAGCCTCTAAGCCTCAAAAATATTCCCTCAAAATCTCATATTTACACTTCAAGTAGTTTTTAAGTAAGTAAATGATCAAAATGTGGAGGCATGTCATATTCAGCTTTATAGAAGAAAATGTTCATTTTTAAAAATCTTGTAACTTTTCAATTTTTGGTTCAATTGATTTGAGTTTTTAGTATGTTTTGCCTCTAAGTCTCAATAATATTGCCTCAAAATATCATGCTTATGTCTCGAGTAGTTTTTGAATAAATGATCAAAATGTGGAGCCATGTCATATTCAGCCTTATAGAGGAAAATGTTAATTTTTAAAAATCTTGTAACTTTGCAATTTTTGGTTCAATTGATTTGAATTTGTAGTATGTTTTGCCTCTAAGTCTCAATAATATCGCCTCAAAATGTCATGCTTGTGTCTTGAGTAGTTTTTGAGTAAATGGTCAAAATGTGGAAGCATGTGATATTCAGCCTTATAAAGGAATATGTTCATTTTTAATAATCTTGTAACTTTGCAATTTTTGGTTCAATTGATTTGAATTTTTAGTATATTTTGCCTCCAAGTCTCAATAATATTGCCTCAAAATGTCATGTTTGTACCTCAAGTAGTTTTTGAGTAAATGTTCAAAATGTGGAGGCATCTCATATTCAGCCTTATAGAGGTAAATGTTCATTTTTGAAAATCTTGTAACTTTGCAATTTTTGGTTCAATTGATTTGAATTTTTAGTATATTTTGCCTCTAAGTCTCAATAATATTGCCTCAAAATTTCATGTTTGTACCTCAAGTAGTTTTTGAGTAAATGGTCAAAATGTGGAGGCACATGTCATATTCAGCCGAGGGGGTAACCACTCAGTAAATATGGTGTACAAAAACTGTAATTTTTTGTAATTTTTGTAAATATCAGTAATTTTTAGTAATTTCTGGTAATTTTAGTAATTTTCAGTAATTTCTAGTAATTTTTAGTAATTTTTAGTAGTTTTTAGTAATTTTTAGTAATTTTTGGTAATTTTTGGTAATTTTTGGTAATTTTTGGTGATTTTTCAATAATATTCCAGTAATTTTTTATAAATTTTGAAGGGTATTTTACAAAAACGTGTCTAAAAAAATTATGTTGGAAGTTCTGTGGAAACTTCCTCATGACAAAAGCAATTGTATACATAAAATCTATACCGGGTGGGTCAATGCTCGAGCTCAAGCCAATGAAAAGAAAAGAAAAGAAAATAAAATAAAATAAAACGGATTTTTCATATTTATCGTCAGTTAAGAAAAAAGGCTCGGAACTGTTAATTTCTATTTTTGAGGGGGAAACTTTTTGCAAAGAATTTTAACTCGAGGTCTAAGGGATACCTATACGTCGCGTCGTATACGAAAAATTGTAGGTACGGGTGAAGGGTGAAACCATAGATAAGGGTGGAGTTGACCCCCCTAGGGGATGGTAGCAATGGATTGGAGTGATAATGTTGAAAATACGCACAAAAGTGTTCCCCGCGATAGAAAAATTGACGATAAAATATCGATACGGCTCGAAATACCTAATTACCGGAAGGCGGTCTTCATTGACAACAACGTGTGGTTTTTGCTTTAAAAACTGAAACTCCACGTAAAATTAAATTTTAGAGGTTAATTACACTCTGGCTCTGGCACGTCCCATTGTCACCAAAAGTAACTGGGACAGCATCACATTAGCTCTTGTCCTATTATATGAATCTTATTGTCAAATATTTGTCAAACTATGAATTAAATGCATTGAAATGAATGACAGTAAAATTAGTCTAGGAGATTATTATGCGTTATTTGTGTCCCAGATACTTTTGGTGACGATGGTACATGCCACAATTTGAAGAGCTCCATTGAGGTATAGAAGCAAGGATAATACACACTACTACTACTGTACTACAGGACATAGAGCTACAGGATGGCCTATCCTCATAGGCCAGTGTGTAACAAATCCCCGACCTCTACCTCCACCTTACGCCAAACTACCAGTTGTGACGTAGGCAGCATGTTATTTCTCGCCTTGACGTAGGCTCTTTAAACAGCTGACGACTTAGTTATGACGTCGGAAATGGTGACACAAAATATGGCGACGATTACCAAAAACGAGGCTGATAAGCAATCCTGTAGGTGTGTATCATCCTTGCTACAGAAACGCCTTCTACAACTTAACTGTCAATATTACATTCCTTCCTATAACGTGTGAGCTGTGTATGTACTGTGAAGTACATTCCTCTGTAATGAAAATTCGAGAAATTTAATATAAAACTTCTCGAAATGTATTGCATTAAAAGCCTATTTTGGCATTGGCACATCATTAAATGGCTAAACCCAAGGTTGTTTGAGAGAGGCCAGTTGCCTGACAGCTTCATGACGTCATCCGGCCGGGGTGCCTCAACACAATGCAAATTTCCATAGGGCTCCCCAGACGCGTCATCAGGCCACCCATCACAAGGCAACCCATAAATCTCAGGAACCTTGGGTTAAACCATATTATCCTCCTATAGCAATAACAATAACGCATAAAACTTGTTTCGAGTGAGCCAGGTGACGTCCCTAGAGCAGCGCGTGCCCCCGCTAAACTGGCGGAAAAATATCACCGATGTAACCATTCCCTTTGGTTTATCGTTCTTGATTAAAGATCACCTGAGCTCTATCCAAGGTTCCTAAAGGTGATAGGTTGTCCGGCAATGGGCAACCTGACGACGCATCTGGGGTGCTCTATGGAGATTTGCATTATGTTGAAGCATCTTAAATGATGTCATGCAGTCACAGGTCTATCGTCTTTTTGCTCGGGCAGGATTAACCAACCGAACTCGCCTATTCTATAAACGCGATGACGCGTTACCAACGGAACGTGCGCGCGCACGCGTATTTGTAATTTCTGGAGCCCTATTTGAAACAGGGCCGTAGCCAGGGGGGGGCATTAGGGGGCAATGCCCTATTTTTCAAATGATGATGCCCTGCATTTAAAACACAACATGCGTTGAGGTTTCTCTAGGAAATTTAAGAGTAGATGAAAGCTCTGTTACAACCGACATGAGAACCTTTCTTGAACGGTAATTTTCAGTCGATGAATTCATTTTTCAAATAGGCTCAAATTCCTCGAGGGGACAACACTGTCACCAGAAGAAGTGGGCCAACTGACACCCAGAAAAATAGCTTCCTTCGGCAGAAGTCTACGCTTCCTGGAGACAAATTAAGATGTAGAGTCACGCACAAAATATCTGCAAAGGTAGCAGTGCTGAGCGGCTGAAAAGCCGAAACGACTCCCCCGAAATCTACAATCTACAATCTACAAGTAGGATAAACGTTCAGCTTATTGAAAATTAGGTGGGCAATTGGAAATTACTGGTTCTGGAACGGTTCCCATGTCGGTTGGACCACAGCTAATGAATAGACCTGAAATCGAGTAAGTTGGTAGGTATACAGTTATTTTACAAGTAGTACAAGTACAAGAGGTCTCCCAAAAATTATTACCTGAACGCGCCATTTTGTTTACTTGCCAGAGATGTTATTGAAAAATTTGCCTTCGGCGCCATTACCTCCATTTTGTTTACCTATGAAAAATTTAAGGGGGGGGGAGGAAGTAGTGCATGCCCTATGTCAAATTTTTCATGCCCTATCACAAATTTGAATCTAGCTACGGCTCTGATTTGAAATCATTGTGAATGTGCCTCTGGTCCCTCTTGCGAATTTTCCACTTACAGTGCCGTATCTTTATGCCATTTTGGTAACGGGTCTTCAAAAAAAAACTAAATCAGAGAGTGCTTTGATTACAAAAACATATAATTTGTCGATTTTAATCTGATACTCCAAAGGAATGTGAGCTGGTAGCTTCCTACATTAGAACGCCAATGGTTATCTGACGCTTGTTTTTGCCTTATGAAACATCTCCTCGCTCCTCATACGGAAAGTGTCAGAATAAAAACGACGGACTTTACATCGCATTATCATTTCTTTATTGGTCGAGATTTTTGACCAAGTTTTCGACATTACAAAATGCAATGACAAAATTGAAGAAAAATATTGCTGAGACATACGTTTAAAAAACCCAAGAAAAAACCATATGCATCTCTGATTTTTTTCTTTGAAGACCCATCACAATTGACACAAGATTAATTTCTTCATCATAATAAAAATTCCAGAAAAATTCAAAAATAATGTTTTAAAAATATGTTGTCATTTTTCAAATTGACAGTAATTTATTTTACTAATGAAATAAAGTGCACTTTAATGTACTAGTAGGTACCTTCTATATAAAAACTACTTATAAAATCAAGTTAGAAATGATGTTAAGGGGTTTTAGTAATTTTGGTAAATGTGTGTAATTTCAGTAATTTTAGTAAATGTGAGTAATTTTTTTGTAATTTCAGTAATTTTAGTAAATGTGTGTAATTTTTTTGTAATTTCAGTAATTTTAGTAAATGTATGTGTAATTTTTT